ATTTTCCCTTTACTTAAAAAAATCACTGATGATGAAGAAATTAAGAACTAATATTAAGTTCTTTTTTCTACTGAAGTGATTAAAAATAAAGATAAGAAAGAAAGAAAAAAGGATTCAAAAGAACTGATTCATCCCTTGAAATCTGTGAAAGCTTATTTGCTTACTTTAATACTTATTATTATTTAGAATACATTATAGAGATAAAAGGGGCAGACATAATATTTATTCTTCTTCTGCTACCTTTCATTTTATTTTAATTATTGGTTTGTGTAAAGTATTTTCTTTGTTTTCTATTGTAGTTATTTTGTTTTTTATGAAATTAATAAAGTATCAATCAATCAATCAATCAATCAATCAATCAATCAATCAATCAAAATGCTCAGTGTAAAGAAACTACATCCATTTGCTTCATCGTCAGGAAATATGAAAATAATTTAATTAGCAATTATTCTCAAACATTAGCACCTAAACTGTCCTTCAGATTATCTATACTTCAGATCAAAAGCAGGAGACTTTACTAAACTTATTTCTAAAAGGGAAATAATTCGATGTTTTGAAGTTTTGTAATAATTTGAACAAAGTTTTCATACTGTTCAATTCAATCTTTTAGCTACTTTTCTTAGAGCTCAACCCTCCACAATAAAAGCACTGACTCTGCATGGTGAAAAAAGGCTGCTTGGAAAAACAGTACATTTCTTAAAACCTTTAAGGCTTTAAGTTCATCACATTTCACTGTATTTTTTAGGAGCTGCTTTTGTAAGTTACAGCCACAAATTTTCAGTTTAGCGTGTATCCGAGGAGGAGAAGAAAATGCTTCCCAGAAGGAAGAGTCCATGGAGAGGAGTTTGATGTTGGTTTTAAGATGTCTTTATATTTTTATCAGATGGTGCAATGCTTGCTTCACAAATTGCATAGTTATTTTATGTGTCCCTCAGCAAATGAAATGTTCCTGCGCCTTCAGCACGACAATAATCCACCCCAAACATCAGCAATAATTAAAAGGAAAATGAAATTCTGCTTTTTTTCCCACATCTTTGTTTACATCCACCACAAAGCTTTAGCTTAATCTTACATTTTAAGTACCGTTACAGAAATAGTTATAGAAAAAAATAGCAACGTTAAAAGGCTTTCATATGCCTTTAAACATTACAGTAAAACAATAAAAATCAAGTTACCTTTCCAAGCCCAGGTGTATCTTTGATCTTATTGGCTGCACGGAGAAGGCAAGGAGGAGCAGGCGGAGGTGCCTTCAACAAGGCAGAGCTGAAGTTTGTCGGGAACAGAGGAGGGTCACATGACAGAGGAGACGACGCCACTGGAGCCGCGAGGGCTGCACTTTTCTGTTTCTTCTTCTTGGACGCCAAGTTCAACTTCTGAGCCGCTCTGGGACAGAGAAGCAGAAAAGAGAAGATAAGAGAAGGAAAGAGTTCCGCTAAATATTTGAACTAATATGTTTATCACTTTGTGACTGTAAATTCAATAAACACATTTTTCACATATACAGACACTGTAAGGACAGGAAGCATGAAAGGGTTAATCTATATCCAGTATTCTGTATATTTAAAAGCACACATTCTGTTAGGATTTGTACTTTTATTTGTATCCTACAGTTTTTTAAAATGCTGTGTTCTGATTAGTCTGTTTCTTCTCACCTGTTTACAGGTGTTGGTTATTTGTGTTTGTTAAGTTTGTCTTCATGTTCTCTGTTGGTTTGTCTGTTTCTCGGTTCAATGTTGTACCCTCTGTATGTGTTTGTTCCAGCCCCATGCTCGTGTCCAATCCTCACGAGTTCGGCTTCTGAAGAGTTTTCTGCCTTATTAGAGTTTTGTGAATTTAAAAGGGATCCCCGAATAGTTGTAGCATTTGAATTTATTTGATAAACATTTATTTTAACTGTAAAATAAAGACTGTAAAAATACTGTAGGCTGTTCAGTTTTGTCAATTTTTAAAAAATATGTTTTTACACGGACGGAGACATTTTATTTACACACAAAGCATTCTGGGTAAATGATGATGTGGGTAGGTCATCGGTGCGAGGCTGCTAGCAAGCTATATCCACCCTGCAGGTTAATCTTGGACAATATCTGATGGTCGACTCTTTTAAATGAAACCAGAGAGCGTTGACAGAGAGGAGAAGGTAGAAATGACTCAGCCTGGAACTGAAAATATGGATGGAGGACAACAGAGCTGCTTCATGGAAGAAGAACCTCAGCTTAGCCTGTTAGCCTTCACGCTAGTAACAACATTATGGCTGTGTCCAAAACGACAGGACGGGTCCTTCGGAGGACCAAGACTCCCCGGTCTCGGAGGGCCGGGTCCTTGGTAGACCGGGAAGACCGGAAAAAAAGAGGCTGTGGATTTGGACGGTCTAGCCTCCCCTCCTTACCCCGGCGTACGTCATGTCACCTAGCAACTGTGACGACGCTAAACAAGCAAACTTAAATCAAAACTAGAAAAATATCAACACATTAGCATTATTAATATCACAAAACTATAAAATTAACTTAAAGGTATCATTTGAAGAATTAATTGACCTGCTGTAGGTTCATGTTTATTTCGCGTTTTTTATGACGAAAAAATAATATTTAAAAACATGTCCATACAAATGATAAAAGTATTAGAATTACAACCGCTAATTTTTTTTWATTTTTAAATCACCATATTTTTATTTAAAACATATTCTTTTCTCTCGCTTCGTCCGCCATTACTAGCTTAAAAAAATCTCCGGTCAGGCCGCAATGCATTATGGGATATGCTGGGCCGGGAAGGATCCATCGGACCTGTCCTTCGATTCGGGGAAAAAGAAGGACGTATTTGTCGGACGCATCGGAGGAGTCTTCCGTTTTGGACGTCCTTCGTCGCGGCGCTGTGACGTATGCGGCCGACAAATTCGACCTTCGGAGGACCCGTCCTGCCGTTTTGGACACAGCCTATATTGCCTTATATGTATTAGCTCGGTGCTAGCGCGACAAACAAGCTAAACTGAGGTCCTCCATCCATATTTTCAGTTACAGGCTGAGTCATTTTTGTATTCCCCTCTCTGTCATGTGGATGGAGGACCTCAGTGACGAGAGGAGAATGTGTAGCGCTGAGCTAATACATATATATGGTGATAGCATCGGGGCTAACGCTAAAGCTAACAGGCTAAGCTGAGGTTCTTCTTCCATGAAGCAGCTCTGTTGTCCTCCATCCATATTTTCAGTTCCAGGCTGAGTCATTTCTACCTTCTCCTCTCTGTCAACGCTCTCTGGTTTCATTTAAAAGAGTCGATCATCAGATATTGTCCAAGACTAACCTTCAGGGTGGATATAGCTCGCTAGCAGCCTCACACGGAGGACCTAGCTGACGTCATCATTTACCCAGAATGCTTTGTGTGAAAATAAAATGACTTCGTCCGTGTAATATATTTTAAACTCTTAGTTTAAAAATTATAAAAACTAAACATCCTACAGTATTTTTTTAGTCTTTATTTTACAGTTAAAATATACGTTTATCAAAGAAAGTCAAATGTTACAACTAATCAGGGATCCCTTTGAAGGAGGTCGTTTTTGAGAATCTGAGCCAGAGGTCTTCTGTCTGCACTTTGGGTCTCAACTACCACAAACATGAATAATTCCTGTTTACATATATATAAATAGCAATGCCATTTTGGGGAGAGGTTCACTCCCCAGTAGTATTCACAGCAAATTAGGTACCTAAGAACCAGCTATGTCCCAAAAGAAGAAAAAAAATAAAAGAAAGAAAACTAGACGACCTTTAGAAATGATTGAGACTATGTGCTCAGGAGAAATTTATCTTCAAATAAAGTCTGAGTATGAGAACATGTACTTTGGGTGCTTGCTGATACCAAGTACTTATTGGATTAGAACATAAACACAACGACTTTAAAAACATTTATTTTATTTAGAACAAGGTGGCTCTCCTTCCTTATAAACCTACATCCATCCGACTGGATCCAATCAAATATAAAGCATGATATATTCTGTTGTAAATAAAGAAAAAATAATTGACTTTTTTCATCTTGTATAAATTCATTACACATGGAACAGACACACTTTTCACTTGAAATGTAAACTGTAACACATTCAATTGAGAACTGATACTGGTATCAGTCTTGAGTATCAGGGCATTTTGTATGAGTAAAAATGCCGGTATCAGGACACAACTAGTCTGACTCACAAAAGTCAAAAATATAAAGAAATAAGAGAGGGTCCAACAGGGTTTTGCCACCCATTTTTTGCCTGCTTATTTCAGCATGTTTCTTTATTGTTCATTTATTGTCTTTTAAAAATAGATTTTGTTCCCTTTTTTCTTTAGCAGAAACACATTTATTTAAACTGCAGCTTTAACCAGCATTGAGCCAACAGTTAATATCTCCCATTCACTCATTTGTCACTATAATGCACACATGTAAGTGCTTTAATGGTTTTGTTTTTTATCATGAAAACAAGCCCTTGTGCTGGGATTCAATTGTAAATATAGTGTTTAACACATATCTGCCAACAGAGCCTGTGTGGGATGATACTTTGTTTAACCGTGGCACTGTGTATTTAATCATATCACAGTTTGTCTAGACATAACTACAGCCGAGCAGAAAGATAGAATTAAGCCTGAGTGAAAGTTATTTCAGGGGAAAAGTGTGTGAATCTGCAGTCAAATTTCTTCCAATTTATTTTATTGTCAGCGATTCGAGAAGCCGCAGCTGAAACCGCTGCAATACATTAACAATTTAATCCAATAAAATCCCCCTAAAACAGCAGTGGCAGGGCTTCCCGCAGTTTAATTCTCACCGATACTCCAAAGATTATAGACGGAGATGAAGAAATGAGCGAGAGGCCTTGTGCCCCAACGCACTCGCTGTCAAGAAGCCATATTTTCACACCATTGGCTTTCAATTAACTACCGCAAGACACAGAAATGAGAGTGAAGAGGAGAATCGCTGAGAGAGGGAAGAGAGCAGCGAGGAGGAGGAAGAGGGAAAAAAAGATGTGGATCAAGTGACCCGTAGAACGATGAAGCGCTTCACCGTTTGACCGACACTCCCAGGAGATTTGTGTGTGAATCTGTGTGTGTTTGTGGTTGTGGGTGTGTGGTTGCTCGCTGCGTGAAACAAACCTCCATGAGAAAACCACTAATTGGTTTTTCATTGTGTGCCGGCTAAGCTTATGAGAAACGCGATCAAAGGCAATTACATTTTTTTATGATATTGGTGCGGCACTCAAAGCTCTTTTATTCATCATGAGGAAAAAAAATATTGTTTGCCAGGTGTAAGAATGTACTCTCTTTAAATATTAATGACTTTAGTGAATGTATTTTCTTCCTAAGGAGCCATAAGATCATTTTGTTCAAGATATTGGTACAAATGACTGTTTTAAAAGTGTCTTTTTATTAGATTTTTATTGCAACTGAATTAAGAGGTGGTTGTGCTTGCTGCAGTGCTGTGGATGGTTGCAGGAAGGAATGTGACAGTGATGGATTCATGCGGTTTCTCTGTTGTTGGGGATTCTTGCTACTAGTTTCTCCTCTATCACCACAATAATGCACAGCTGTGATTGCTCTCAGCTGTGCATTATTATGTTTTCTGTGCATGTGGGCCTGTCGCTGAATGAGCTGCTGTTGTTTCCACATGTCACTTCAATTAATTGCCACGCCACTTTCATAATGTTTATGATGTCTGCTGTTATATTTTGGTTTGTCCCTTGGTCCAGTTCAATCTGTGGCACAAACCAACACCACCAAACTGGTGAAGATTTGATGGTAAATGACTTGAGATTCTGATCTTTTCCAGTCTAACAATCAAGCAAACATCTCTACTTCATTTAGTACTTTCTGTCACACTGTAGTGATCAATACGAAAGTATCGATACCACCAATACCAGGGGCCTCATGCATAAAGGATTGCGCAGCTTTCACACTAAAAGTTGACGTACGGACAAATTTACAAATGTGCACCACACCAAAATATTCAGATGTATAAATCCATGCGTATGCAGGTTCCTGCGCAGCTTTCCTTTATACTGTACATCCCAATGAACGTAGAACTGAGCGCACGTGAGACACCACCCCTGACACGCCTCCATTTAAATATGTAAAATAGATGTAAATGTATCCAGCGTGTGAGATTCTCCTCCGATTCCTCTCTGTGTGATCAGAAATGATTTTTAGATGCAGGGAAAATATAAATTAAACTGAGAATGAGTGAGAAAACTGTCTAAATAAGTAGTGGGGGTCATTATTTTATGTGGCGCATTCTCATGGGATAACCAAAGCCTGAGATTTTCCTGAAATTTACAGACATCTCCCGAATGTGATGTTGATGTCTGGTTAGTTGTTGTCTATTTAGTTGAACACGGCATTGAACAGACGTTTAAAAAAATAAATTA